TGCCTCTGCTCAAAGTTGTTCTATTTTGCTGTCCTGTATCCAGGATATCATAATAGTCTCTGCTGCTCTCCTGCCTTCCTACTCATCTGCCAGTGACATCAAATTCTGTCCAGGTCTGAAAGATACTATAACCCTGTCACCATGTTAATCCCAAGGCAGGATCCAGTTCTACTTATTCTGATGGTCCCTTCAAATACATTTTTAAAAGAATCGGGGGAGGCATAATTTGAACCTCCACATCTATGCAAGCTTCTCCCACTTCATGTGTCCTCAACCTGGCTGGCCATCCACACACATTCTTGACTTTTTCAGGACATGACACCCATCTCCAACGTATCTTTAGGGCCTTTCTTTAAGGAGCTGGCTGCTCTTACCCTCTATGCTATCTTCACCCCACTGCTTTCGATTTATTCAAAAATACCCTCCTGTGAACCTGTTTCATATCACACCTGAAGAGTCCAGGCTCCCTTCAGTTCCAAACTGCTAAAGGAACATTCACCAAGTGGAATGTTCTTAAACGTTTTGACGTGTGTCTTTATAACTACATTTTTTAATTCATGCCAAAAATCAAAACAAAGTGCCAGCTGGAAGCCACATTCTTAAACTTCAGATGTGGGAAAGCCAGCTCAATCTGCCATGAGGAACAACATATACGAAGGTGGAAATCTCCTAAATCGGGCTGCACTCTCTACTGCTGGGGCAGGAAGAATTGTGAGATGCCAGAAAATACACACCCCCTCCAACCCCCATCGCTAATTGCTTCATTTTTCAAAGATGCAGAAATAGGACATGCACATAATAAAGAAATCCCAGGAAATTCCCTCTGGAATCACACAGAGGGAAGAAAGGTAAGTGACAGGCAGATAGTATCCAATCCTGAACATAACAAGACACCAGTCCATACACAAGTACAAGCATTTTCTTAGTCAAAACAATGCAATTAGTGAAAAGTAGATCCCATTCTAACATCAATGCCTTTCCCATACCACCTACCCTCAATTTAATTTTATTTCTTTACGTATTTGTACTGCCTTTCTCAGCCAGAGGCGACTCAAGGCGGTTCACAGTAGGCAGCGATTCGATGCCATAACAAATATCAAAATACAGTTAAAACAATTATAAGCAATTCAACATTTAAAGTGTAATATAAAAAGCAAATATATCTGTAAAAACAAGATCCTTGGCATCTCCTTACTAAAATCGTTGTCCAGTTGCATTGTCAAGTCATTCCATATATTCCTTTACATCTAGTTATGTTCCAGTAGAAAAAGCTTGCTCGAAGAGCCAGGTCTTAACCATTTTGTGGAATGTTAGAAGGGAGCCGATCTTATATCCTTGGGGAGGGCATTCCATAGGCAAGGGGCCACCACTGAGAAGGCCCTGTCTATTGTCCCCGCCAAACGCATCTGCGAGGAAGGCGGGATCGAGAGCAGAGCCTCCCCAGATTATCTTAAAGTCTTCGATGGTTCATAAGGAGAGATATGTTCGGATAGGTAAGCCGGACCGGAACCGTTTAGGGCTTTATAGGCTAAAGCCAGCACTTTGAATTGTACCCGGGAGCAGACTGGCAGCCAGTGGAGCTGGCACAACAGAGGAGTTGTGTGCTCCCTGAGTGCCGCTCCTGTTAACAACCTGGCTGCCGCTCATTGGACCATTTGGAGCTTCCGGACAGTTTTCAAAGGCAATCCCACGTAGAGAGCATTGCAGTAGTCTATACGGGATTTGACATAGGAAAGATGACGAGGCCAATTAGATTTGATGCGTATGACTAGGACGGTATGAAATGGTGTTTGAAATGTATTTTAATATTTTGATAAATGTTTTTTAATGCTTATGTATGGGTATGTGAATTTATGTCCCGGCATTGAATGTTTGCCATTTATATGCTGTGCTCCACCCTGAGTCCCCTTTGGGGTGAGAAGGGCGGAATATAAATGTTTTAAATAAATAAATAAATAAAATATTTTCTCTGACAAGCTATCAAAAATAATGTTTGGTTTTCCTGGTTCAGGGCAGTTAAGAAGATATGTGTATATTGGGAGGAGAGGTGGTTAGCCTATGAGGATTAGTGGGAGGTGCTCATTTGATATGGAAAAGAAGAATACAGGGCTTCAAGATTTCAATAAACCCCCTCCAGACACACATGAATGCACAGACATTATTTCTTTCCATAACTAGAACACACATCTGGTGCTTTTGTTGCTTTCAGTCCCTCCTCATTCTAGAGTACTAACTGCAGTTAGGGCCTCTGTCACAGCCTACCTATAATCTTACCATGGTTTCTCTATTCACATACTGCTGCCCATTTCAGTGACATCCCACTATGTCCCATGAGAGATGCTATTGTGCTGTTGCCCACCTTTCCATAAGAGAAATTTTACTATGAGCACTTACTCTTGCATTTCACTGACTCAGGCCCCCCTCTACACAGCTGTATAAAATCCACATTGAACTGGATTATATGGTAGTGTGGACTCAAGACAACCCAGTTCAAAGCACATCTTGTGGATTATCTGCCTTGATATTCTGAGTTATATGGCTGTGTGGAAAGGCCCTCACTGAGAGGGAAAGGATCCAATGTGACCACCTTTTGATACTGCCTGCCTAAGGGAGAAAGACTAGTTATTATGACTTCGCTCTGATGTGGCCAACTTGAAGGAGAAAAGCTGGCTATTGTGACCTCTGGCTGATGTAACTACCCTGAAGGAGACTAGCCACTCTGAGCTCATGTTGATGCTGCCTGCCCAAAAGAGGGAAATTCGACACTCTAATCTTGTCTTCATGCTGCCCGTCTGTAGTGGAGAAACATTGCCAAGAGATTCTGATCACCTTCCTTAAGGATGGAGACTGGCCATGCAAACCTGATTTGATGCTGCTTGCCTAAAAGGGAAAAACTGGCCATTTTGAGATACTGATGGTTGTGTCCTGAACAGAGAGGCTAGGCATTACAAACTTGTACTGATCCTACTCCCTGAAGAAGAGATATTCATCATGATGATGTGCTGATGCTTTTTAGCTAGAGATGAGTGACAACCATTGTAAATTCACGTGGAGGCTGCTCACTTGAAGGAAATTCACACAAAGGTCATTATGTTACCAATCACATTCACAAGAAAGTTGCCCACAATATAAACCAGACAGATATTCTCTTAATCTTCTTCTATACTTTCCCGCCTTTTAAAATATAGATTTTACTCCCTGCTTCCCTACAGCCAACAGAATGGCACCAATGCCCATCAGTTCCTTTTAGAAAAGAGAATGGTAGTCAATTCAATTTCTGTGCTATTTGTCAATCATTTCTCTGCGTTATGCCTATCTGTTCTTTGTCAATCATTTCTGCAATGGATGAAGAGATAGCAGCAATTCTTGTCTGGATATAAGAAATGACCAGGCAGCCAACATGAGAAAGTTTGGGAATTATTCCTATAAAGATCTAAGGAAAAGTAAAGCTATTTAGAAAAAAAAGTGAAAAGTGTAACTCTGAAATGGAACTAAAGTCTAACTTCTCATCCATTCCAATGAAATATCTACATGCAGTGGTCCTGAACAGTCAACAACAACAACAACAACAACAATAACAACAATAATTTTATTTCTTATCTACCTCTCCTCATGGCTTGAGGCAGGTTACAACATTGTTAGAAACACTTAATCATCTAAAAATATTCTATAAAATATACATATTAAAATATATTTCTACAAAAATACATATTATAATACAGAGAACAAAGATTAAACACATACAGATTTAAAATTCATAATTAAAACTGACTGGATAGGCCTGCCGGATGAGCTAGGACTTCTAATGTGTTTTAAATTTTGACAGCTCATTTATCTGTCAGATCTCTTCTGGCAGGTCATTCCACAGTCTTGGGGCAGCCAGTTCTCTGGGTGACAGGTGCCCCTCAGGTTCTGGCTGGTTGGAGTAGGTTCCCTCCAGAGGGCCTAAGCAGATTGTATGGGAGAAGGCGATCCTGTAGGTAACCTGGACCCAAACCATGTAGAGCTTTAAAGGTCAAAACCAAGACTTTGTACTCTGCCTTGGAAACTAACTGACAGCCAATGGAGTGACTTTAGTATGGCTATAATATGCTGACTCCTGGATGTTCCTATACCCAGTCTGACTATGTACTGGTTACAAGAACATCCAAGAGTGGACATATGTACTCTAGATTCCTGTATGCTTGGTGCCTACATTTTGCAAAATCGGCCAGGCCTCTTCTGGGACACATTTATGGCTGACGGACTAGATTTTCTTGGTAGAAAGGGTAACACTCCAGGTTTTTAGCAGTCATATTAAATATCACCATAGATACCACAACCTACGATAGCATTAGATCTGTGGTACATAATCCGTTTATGCCCCCCTTGGAGAATTTATTAAAAGCTATGGACGATCCTTCCTCCACAAGATTAATACACATGAACATAGACACAAGAATATTTACATATTGTTTTATTGCACTAGATTGAAATAAAAATATTACAAAGAACAGGTTTTGCCTTGAATTCACCATGATTAGAGACATTCAAAGCAGCAGGACGATAATCAAATATAGCATTCATTCATTCTGTGCTTGAATTATGGACTCCCTGGTGCTAATCCATGATGTCCCTGTTGCCATGGACCTCAGGTTAAGAAATCTTTCATTAGAAAAATCTTTCAGGAGCTTAAGTCATATACTGAATTACAATATGCCAAATCCTATTATATTCTTTGGACTGATTTATCCTCCCCCCCCCCCCCCCCCCAAATTAACATCACATCTAGTAAACATCACAAATACTAATGAGATGCATTTTCAGTCTCACCTATTTTGTTAAGCTGAGCCTATTTTAACAGCATTGTTCATTTAGTTTAACATTGTAGGAATGAGGCTGCCCTGTATCATGGCTTCAAATGATTTCCTTGAAAAAAAGCCTTGGCAGTTCTCTCTAACATGCAAATTTCAATCTCCCTTTTTTTTAGTTTAAAGGAATACATAAAGAGGAATACATACCCTGTATATTAAGATCACATCTTCAAAGCTCTCAGTTCAAGGAATTCAGCTCAATTTTCTGAAACAATAAGCAAAAACAAATTCTGAAAAATGTGGCAGGTTCATAACACTTTAAATTAATTTACAGCTCCATATTTATAGTGCTGTTAAAAACAGAAAAGTACCTTGGATATGTCCCATTAACAATAGCAAACAATATTCAAAAAGCACAATCTAAAGTTTAATGGCACTTTACTCCTGCTTCTTGGTTGCAAGAGTTAAATGTGCATTTAAATCTTTCCTGGTGAATGAAAAGAGACTTGGAAAGGGTCATGGCCCTAAATGTTGATGCATTCTCAAAATTCAAGTTTTGTCTGAGTTTGGGTTAAAGTGCCAACATTTTACACCACTTCTGCTGATTCGAGTGCTACTGTTGTTCAATAAAAAGGACCGAAAGAAATGTACATATGCATGAAAAGTTGAATGAGTCTTTTTCCTGCTCATTTCTCCTCAACCCCACATTTCAATTCCCTCTGTTTCAGCTGTGAACTCCTCTTCCACTAGTATTCAGATGAGCAATGTTCAGGTAAACAATCCACATGGAGAAGCTAACAGGTCAGTTGAAAATGAACCCGAAGGAAGGGAGACCCCCACCATAATCCAAGGAAGCAAGCTAATCGAAAAGGGGGACAAGCCAGGACAAATTATGAGGAAACACAACTCTTCTCCAACACAGAAGAACATCTGGGTTTCAGAGGAGAACACAGAGATCTGTCTCCTAATCTCTATTGCCTGAATCAGTCATCTCACTATGCCTAACAGCAACTCTAGGATCCTGATAATCAATGTAACTTCAAATTGTATTCAAGTTTCATTACAATAGGATCATGGTACAGTACAAAAGAAAAATCCAAACTGCCCTAAATCAGATGCTTCTAAACATTTATCATACCAGTAACCTGAGTCAAATATCAGAGCGAACTCTCTGTTTCCAAGTATAACAGTCAAAATTGGGACAGAGTCAAAATAGTCAATGTAATGTGGCCATTTTTACTATGCCAGCAGACAATTTTTAATGAGTTAGTGGGCAAAGAAGCCATGCAAGTACAGGCAGTCCCCAAGTTTCGAACAAGATGGGTTGTGTAGGTTTGTTCTTAAGTTGAATTTCTATGTCAAAACAGGTACATTTTTTGAGTGTAACTCCAGCCAAATCAATCCACCAATCAATCAATTTATCTATCTACCTGTTAGCCTTGGTCAACATAAAGGGTTGATGCCCCTGTGATGTTTGTTGTGCTGTCTGTGCCCGTGTTCGGAAGATTTCACCTCATTTTCTGTCCCTGTGACACTTGGATTTTGAAAACATATGGCTTGTTGTAGAAACAAAGAAAGCTTCAGTGGAGATACCTTTTCCCCATGATAACTCTTGCAGGAGTGAATGTATCTTCTGAGGGGTAGATTTCTCTCACATCCTATTGCCCCACTCCTGTTCTTAACTATGAGTCATTTATAAGTCAGATGCTTGTAACTCAGGGACTGGCTGTATACCAAAATTTACCCACTATGTAAGAGGCAACATCTCTATATTGCTTAACAATAATAAGTATACACTCCCCTTTCTTTTCCCACTGCAACACAGCCCTTCAGCATTATGCTGGAAGCACAAAGCTAGGTAAGCTTGCCTGGAGGAAAACAGAGATACTAGGAGTTTGAATTGGCTACCTGACAATTAAAAGATAGGGTTCCAAGAAACACAGTGTGCAACACTGCACACTCCCATCTCTTCCATCCAAAGAACATTTTTAACTGAGAAAGTCAGACATACAGACGGAGTGTGTAGTGGGAAAAACATGAAGGCAATTTCATCCCCATACATTCCACAATACATTAATGAGGGTGAGCACCTAAAGTATTAAGGTCTTGTTAGTAAGTAGTCCTTCTCTCTTTTAGAGCTCTCAGCACAGCAAGCAAGTAACTCGATGTCACAGAAAAGGAAAGCTGGGAGAACCACGAGGGCTATCCTGTCCAAATCCCTGCCATGTAAGAATACGCAATTAAAGCACCATCCAATGGTTTTAAAATGCAGATGCTCATGGAGGATCAACAAGAAACTCAAGCTTGAATTGTTACTGCTTAAATTGTTTTGGCTTCTCAGCGTAACTAGCATTTCAAGGATGTGAAACGAAGGATATGTCACTGGCCATCCTTTCCTTGTAGCTCTTTGAGGATCTCTGAGGATTCATTACCTCTACCACCAATTCTGCCACCAAAATCCATCAGAACGGTAGCACAATTTGTCTCTTGGGTCTTGCACCTTATCTCCATGGGACTAGACACTTGTTAATCAAAGAATCATTTAAATACCCACACTATCATTTCCTCCCAGTTTTCCCCCCTCCCAAGGGCATCTCTGCAACAGACTGGACCTTTAAACTGACCATCCATAAGCTGTTTTTCTTCCTGCCATTGGGATCTTCTCCTTCTGTCAGTGATGTCAGAGAACCCTCTCTCTAATCGCTGTGTTGACTCTAGCTGGCAGGATTTCTCAGCCAATCAGGAGGAGTCTGAATAGCTGTCAGAACTGCATAAATATCTTGTGTTTTCTTGTGAATTTATGCTTGTACACTCTGAAGCACTTTTCTGGTACTTGCATCCCTTTTGGCCAAACTATGTAGCTTTTCCTTCAAACCAGAGTGCTTGTTTTCTGTTCTGGCTGATCCAGTTTAACAAAAGCTCACCGGGCATGGACCTCCTTATCTGTGGTTCTAGCAAAAATCGTTATAAGTCGCTTTGAGACCCCTTTGGAGAGATTAAATGGAGTATTATTATTATTATTATTATTAATAATAATAATAATTTGATTGTGTGTTACTGCATGGCAGTGGTTCGGATTCGATAGCACTTGTGCTTTCTTGCAACTCCATGATTCATACATAATTTTAGGGTAATACTATAAAGAGTGCATAATCCACATATCTCATTTTCTAGTTCTGCTTATTTTCATTATCTACTTTCTGTTCTATTACCTTTGTTACTTTATAACTTTTCTTTTTTTAAAAAGCCAGCTCTGAAATACATTTCAGGATTATAAACACTAGAGACAGTATTTCATTGCCTCTTCAACCAGGTATTTGGGATCTTTTCCAGATTTGCTATTTGGGAGCAGACATGGCTTCCATAAATATGCTTGTAAGAAGCAGAGAAGCCATAAACACACTGGAATACAAAAGAAAATTATGACCACCCTCTGTGAATATCCTGTCTTTAAACTTCAGGCACACTCAGTGGAGATAGGTGTAACTATTTTGCCAAATCATCCATCAAAGCTACAGTCCATAACCAAACATCATACAAGCTTGCATTGTTCTATTAAGGGATGAAGTTCTTCACTGACAAAATATAGCTATCAATCATATGCCATCAGCCACATTTTATCTTCCTTCTAAGCAAATCCCACCAATCATGCAGCAAAAATAAACCATGTGACAATGGATGGAAATTATATTGAGGAGAGAAAAAGCGGAGTATAAGCAAAATCATCATCACCACCAACATTTCCACCACTCTATTTTCCCCCAGACACATATGTCTTATTTGCTAGACGTTAGAGGTATTCGTCTGAATAGATAAGTATATTTAGGATTCCATGCACAGTGAAAGCTAAAAATGCAAAGTATTTTAGTATTACAGCCTCAAATTAAAAACCATACATATAGTTATGAAAATGGAGACAGAATGTAACAGCATCTAGAAATATTCAAATTGCGTCCCTTGTCCTAAAATTTGAAAGGATTGAGCAAGGTGATAAAGTTCTTTTTTATCTTTATCGTGGTGGATCTAAATACATGAAAAAAAAGACGTTTGCTTACCAGAAACCAGTTTTCCTGAGTTCAAAACTTTGAAAAGATTACGTTTGTTACTGTACGTATAACGAAAGGAATCTTCTCATTGGACGGTTTGAACCCACATTCCATTTTTTTCCCTTTCCTGCCTCCAATGTTGTTTCAGAGACAGCTTTATTCCAAGGAAACAAAATGTTACACAAAAACCTGAAGCTCACATTATCTGAAGCAGGAGGCAGGTATTCTTCTGGTCTACCAGCATCCAGACTATCATCCACCGGATGACAGTCCAAAAGATATTTCTAAATTACCATTCAATTCATGCATAATTTGCTTTTTGTTTTTTAGCAGCTCGGTCCCATTTAGCTCCCAAGGCCTTCAAAAGATGACAGCCAGCCAATTGTTTTGATATGTGCAAGGAAAGCATGCAAATTCATGCCTTCGCCAAATAAATGAAGTGAAGCCTTTGCAGCGTGGATAAGCTAGCTAAGTCTATTTGGCAAACATCCCCCAAAAGCAGACATTCAACACAGCCAGGGATACACTACTGGGTATGTGTGTAGAGTAGACTAGGGCTAGAAAACAATTTAATAAGAATCTTAAACAAATAACTTTTTGACATCTCTGGAGACTTTATGTGAACTCACACTTCTGCAATGCTTATTTAGCATTTTGGGAAAAAGAATTACACATAGAGCAATGCACACATTTTAAAATCTGAATAACTAAAATGCATACAACTGAAAAAAATATGCATGAGTAGGCTGCAGTCAGTGAGGTATATGGGATTTGTAGAAACTTAATAAAATTGAATTTTTTCATAGCCTTACACACACAAGTGCACCTTCCCCCTTATTAAGACCCTTATTCTGGTCTTCTCTGAGTCAATATAATCTCTTCTTTCTGACAATTCTTAATGATACGTTCCCCAAACTACAGGGAAATATGGGTACATATCATTTGCACATTCATTATTCTACTGCTGACTAATCTGGTTGAGATATGTCAGTAACTGGGGAGGGGGGAAGGGGACTATTGTATATATTCATGTTTAGGTTTACTAATTTTAGCCACCAAATCTTGGGCTGACCTGTCAATGGATTAGCTTTACTACTGTATATTAACTCTTTCTTTTTTTTTAAAGGAACCATTGCCTTCTCGGAGCAGAGTAGCAAAAGACGAGACCTTAGTCTGTCCCCAGACAACCTAAGAAAAAGCACCAATCCTTCTACTTTCT